GGTAGGCTTATTGAGAGGTAGATGCATCATAGTTTGTTTCAAGGATGGGGTGAGAGCCCCCCCTCGAGGAGGCATTAACTGCCTTTCAGCCCTTGTCAGCCAACCTCTGTGCAGAAGATTTAAGTAGCCAGGAAGGGCAACAGTCATATAAGCAGGTGGTAGGCTTGTCTGATTCCTCAGACGGAATAAACTGAAAAGTATTCCACAAACATAGGATACCTAAACAAGAGAATTCTAGAATACACTGAGAGCTGTATATGAATAGTCATGTTTGTAACTCTCAAGAAAATACAGTAATAGCTATTATAAAAGCCCCAATCCCTACAGTAGCAATCCCAAAACCTTGGTGGTTCCATTCTAAGCAGGCTCCAGTCTTTTCCCCCAGAAACTCAGGCTAGAAGTGGAAAAAGCTCCTGGAAGTCCCAATTATAAATTCTGATAGAGCAAAGCAAGACACACATTATTTTATATGTCTGGCAGTATGGGCTACTATGTATTGCACACTCCTCTTTACCTCACATAACTATACCAGCCTACCTTGCTCAGTTGTGTCGCTGTTATCAGGTGAGCCTTTAAAAAATTAAGAGAAAATCAGAAATTTCTTCATGCCCCTACTTTAGATTGCCAAACGTATACATCTGGATGTGTTTTAGTGTCAATGAACTGTTAGCATGAAAATGCATATGTGAAGAACAATTTTGGGCAAGTTCTACAACTTCAACCTATTTATAATGAACACTTTGTTTAAGTAAAAGAGATACTCATAAGTTACCTTTTTATCTACTTTAAATATCTTATCAGGAGTCTTATTAACCAGAGTGGGTTTTCCCCCCCCCTTTTCCAGAATAACTTGCTCATGGTAAGAGTAAATATTGCAGGGGAAGTGAGTCTCAATGGTGTTTGAAGTACTATCATTTTTGGAAAGCACCAGTCTCTACCCTCTACCTTCCCAAACAAGCTTTCATTCATTAAGTCAAAGTCATCAGGTTATAAATTAAAAAACATGCTTCCCAAAATTTCTTAGTGAGAACAGTCTATCTGCTTTGGCTGCCTTCTCACTACTGTAGATGTAAGAAAGCTGTCAGAGACAAGACACAATTGTTTAGGAGAAGTGTTAGCCAAATTGTCTTATTTTATTAATAAACTTGGGGAATTATAGATATTAAATGGCAACAGGCTTAAAATATAGGATCATAGCCTGTGTATATCAGGCTCAGGATTCCCAGAGCCCATGAACAGACAAGGAAGACTAGGTTGCTAAAATAATTGGTCTTTTACTTAAGATTCTCAAGCATACAAATAATAATAAGCAAACACTCACACACACAATACCGAACTAAGAATTCAGGCTTGAAAAGATAGCGATGTTTGCATGAGCAGGAGTATAGTTGGTGAGTAATACGTTACCTGTCCGACGTTATGAGCAGATCTTGCAGCGAAAAAGGAACTATAAGGAGCGAGGGGGTCATGGGCGACCAGCAACACATGTGGAGTGGTCCAAATGGATCCAGAATGGAACCAAGAAGATAGGGGGTGAAGAGAAGAGAGCGAACTCAGGGACAGCTCACCTTAAATAGCCAATTTGTGACCTGAGGCAATGGCCATGTGGTCACTGGTTCCCAGGAAGTATTAGGAAAAAACTGGATGGGAGACATAAAGGGATTGACAGTTGGGCAACTGAAAATTGATGGTGGGCAGGGAGTGACACCTCTGGGGGAAGGGGGTTAAACAAAGGGGAGGGTAAAGGGATCCAATCACATTTCAGGTCTGGTGCTTAATATTAACAATCCGATGCCTGGTAGAGGCGTTATCTGGATTACAGGCAGGAAGATTTAATCTCTTCTTTTGTCTTTTGCTGGGCACAGTCTTTTGTTTAAGATGACAGGAGGAAGAGGAATGTGTTACTTTCCGGGTGAAATTAACACATGGGGGGGGGGGGAACGATGCTGCGTGAAGGAGAAGAGATTTCCTCATGGCTTCTGTTCAGGAACATCTATTCTTTGTTCGAGCATGGCTTCTTCTGTGGTCTGCTGCTGTCTCTGCATGCATGCAGCCCAGGGCTGTAGGTCTACATCACAGTGCTTGTGTGGATGCAGAGGTGCAGGGGCAGAAAGCTTCTGTAGTCCCAGGTCCACATCTGGCTTGGTACGTATTCAGGGCACAAGGTTTCTCTTGGCCACAGTGTACAGTCCATAGTCCAGCATAGGGCACAACTCTTAGGACCACAGCTCTGTCCATTGCTCTGGCACACATTCTTCACAGTCCAGCAAGGCAGTGATATTAAAAGAGTCTTTGATAGTGCCATCTGAAGTGGCTGTATGGCAACAGAAGCCCAACATGAAAATGCAGACAGTCTTGTGTCTTTATGTCCAATCCACTGGTAAGCATATGAATATACCCCCACATGATGGGTGATGCACCACTACTCATTTTAAGCCATTTGCTTCCATGGAAGGTTGACGGGTGGTTTGCTGCCACAGCTGGAGCCATGGAGTCTCTTCAGAGGATTTCATGAAGGAGCCTGTTATTTCCTACTATGCAGGTTTACTCAGAAGTCCCACTGATTTCTTTCTCTTCCTGTACGGAAATCAGTAGGACTTGACCAGTGTATGATGTTTGTACACACAGAGACAATGTTCCTATATTCACAAAGCCTGGAACATGGTATATAGACATATACACATGTGTACAGCATGCATCTATGGCCCTTTCTGCACGGACAGCTTGCTCTGGAGAATCTGAGGAGTCAAGCCTTAAGGGTTGACTTTGCAGTCGCACACATTCCCTCTGCACTGTTACCCCTCCCCCCCCGGTTTATTTATTTGTGTATTCTGTATGCATTCTGCATCTGCAGACCCAACCCCTCCCTCCCTGATTCTGAAAAAAGAAAGGGAAAGGAGAGAGAAATCCAGGCCCACATATGCAAGACTGACACATTTGGGAACAGGGAATCCCCTAGTCCTTTATATTTACTGATTCCTTCTTATGCTTTCTCTGGTTTTTTAAAAGTTTTCTGAATGGGAGGACACATCCGGAGGGGGGGTGGAGAACAGGGAGGGAGCATCAACCTAAAGAGAGAGAGGAGGAAACAGGGGAGGACAGTGGGCAGCACTTAAATACCTGCAGAAACAATTCTAATTTAGAAAGGATTAGCGATTTGAAAGTGGATGAGAACAAAGAATCACAGCAAAAGGAGTTTCGGTAACTGCAAGGCAACAGTGTGCTGGAAGAGGTCTGAATGTAGATTCCTGTAAAACAAATGCAGAAACAAGAAAAAGCCCTGACACAAACCAGAAGCGAAAGTGGGAGGGAATGCAGAATGGAAGAATAGGATGCGCTCAGAAACTGAGGCAAATACTGGTGCAGAAAGGGCCTATATCAATCCTAAACCATCCTATCAATACAGAATTCTCCTACATGCATACTTAAATTGAAGTTATAACCCCCATTCACTCCAGTGTGCAGAAGGTCTTTCCTTGCTTAGAGACAATCACCTAATACAGAACAGCTTCTTCTGAGTGTCAGTCTCTAAAGAGGCCTGGAGATCACTATGACAAATCTCATTTTAAATACTCCTACTATTTAAGCTGTGAGTATTGGAGCACCTAAGAGACCGCCTTTTCCCGCATGTTCCCCCAAGAGCGCTGCGATCAGGGAGCCTGGACCTTCTCCAGGTCCCAGGCCCCCGGGACATCAAGCTCTCCCAAACCAAGGCCAGGGCTTTCTCGGTGGCGGCTCCTACCTGGTGGAATGAGCTCCCGGCGGAGATCCGGGCCCTGCGGGACCTTGAACAGATCCGCAGGGCCTGCAAGACAGAGCTCTTCCGCCAGGCTTACGAGTAGGAGCCGCCGCCACTGCCACTATACCATCTTTGTGGCGGGAATTACCATCTACCTGGCCTTGGGTACGGAGAGATGCCGCCCAGAAGACGAGCCCGCCCTCCGATTTTTACATCATCGGCCGCCAATGAGGATTGACCATCTTGAACTTTCTTATAAATTGAACTGTAGAGCACCATTTTAATTGATGTTTTTGAAATTTTAATATAACATGTGTTTTACTCTCGGCCCTTGCCGCTTGTTTGCCGCCCTGAGCCGTACGGGTAGGGCGGGATATAAATCCCAGAATAAATAAATAAATAAATAAATTTTATTTTTTTACTAATTTTAGTTAACTATAGTATTCTGTATTACTGTACTTTTATATTGTCTTTATTGTTATAGTCTGGCATTTGCCCTTGTTAGCCGCCCTGAGCCTTCAGGGAGGGCGGGATATAAATCCAAAGAATAAATAAATAAATAAAATAAATAATTGCTACTATCTAGGAATATTCCTAACCTTTCAACCCCAAAAGAGGCCATTTTCATCAGGTTTTTTTTAAAGAACCCCTAAGAGGATAAACACCAAAAAAGAGGGTAGTCCTCTAAAAACAGGGCATCTGGTAACCCTAACTTAGAAACAAGCATGCATCAGTATCCCTGAACACTCTGTTGTTGACATGGACATCACAGCTCTTCAACAAAAGAACTGCAGCATGATACTGCTGAACTGGGCTTCTCTCACACAACTTCCCTAACTTGTAGGAAGACCATTACAGATGGTAACCACTAAACATACCTAGTGAATGGTATCTGTGTTTTTTATTCAATTTGAATTTTACAAAATTACATTTCACTTTGTACTTCCTGAATTTCATAGCCTACATAAAATAATAACCCTACATAAAAGGACTGTCTAGTGAGGATCCACTCCTTGCACGAAAGCTTAG